TCTTCGTTTTAACTAACTCCACTATCTCATAACTAACAAGTCATTTCTAGTTCATAACAATCTTATTTTTGAAGAGGAATTCTTTTGGCACTTGCTATAGACAATCGTTGCCAGCACCTGGCAGCGTGTTTTCCCCTTTTCGAAGAGGACCGAGTTCAATGGGCTAATTTGTGCATATAGCACCTTACATAAATACTGGATTTTGCACTTTGTTAATTGTATAAAAGATCTACGTTTTTCTACAATGACTAGTACTTATTTAAGAAGGCAAAGGGTCATCATTTTTCCACCAGTTAGTTGCTATTGGTGTGATTTTCAAAAAGAAAAAAAAGGATAGATTAATTAAAGTAAAAATTATAAAATTTGTTACATGGATCAAAAATCTCGAACATGTAGCCTACTATTCTTTTAATAATTTTAGAGGAATCTTTCTTTTTAGTATAATATTTTTCCACAAGTTCATTAGATTTGTCAGAATACATCTGGCAAAGTATAAACTAGGCCAAAGAAATCAAGATTCAACGTTAACAAAAAAAAACACCTTTCACTGCACACCAAACATGAATAATTCAATATAAACAATTAATTTAAAGGGAGGAATATAAAAATTAGGTATAAACATTTATTAAATAAAAATAATTATTAGATTATTAAAAATATGAAAAACATAAAGGAGGGGAATATAAACTTAGACCTAATGGGAAAAAGAAGTAAAATTAGTAAATAATGAATAGTAATTAGATTGGGAGATATACCTAATTTTTAGGACTGGAGGGAAGAATATACTTTCAGCGCCAATCAGTGAGAAAAGGAGGGAAGAAAAAAAGGGGGGAGTAGGAGATGTAGTAAATACAGGGGTATTTTGGTAAACTTAACTTCTATCCCCAGCAATATTTGGTTCCCATTCCATAATATTTGCATACGCTGCTGCGCACATGGCATCGGTTGTCTATCGGTAGTCGTTTTAGGCGACTGCCAATAGAATTCCTCATTTTTGAAACACAATACAATTATATTATTTTGTGGACAAAGGTATATATCATGCACGCAATGCATGTAGTAAAATATTACGTTTGTTAAAAAAGAAGACATATTCACCATAGCCACTAAGATGAAGAAACATATTCTTATTTAGTTCTATAGCCAAGAGAAAACTTAGGGGTGTTCAAAAAGCCTGCGGTTCGGGTCCGATCTAGGCCCGGGGGATCGGCTCGGAACCCAGGCAAACCGGGTCCGGCCCCGGGCCGGCGCGAACTCGCCTGGTCCCGGATCCGGGCCGGGCGGCCGGGCGCCGGCACGGGCAACAACAGTCACCTGGGGTGACAGTTGTCGAAAAAAAACCGTCACAAAGCCCGGCCCGGCCCAGCCCGGCGCCAATGGTCACAAATTATGACCGTTGCGGAAATGGCGGCCCGGCCCGGTCATTTCTGACCGTTTATGTCGGCCCGGCCCGGCCCGACCCGACCCGCGTCCGGACCGTACAAAACGGTTCATATTTGGCCATTTGACCGATTTGTCCCTTAAAACGGTAAAAAAACGGTTAGAATATGAGGGTTTTTTGATCATTTTCCTAGGGGGCTGCCTCTATAAATAGGGGGGGTTCACTTCATTTCCTCATAACAAAACTCATCTACTTCTCTCTAATATTCTCTTATACAATCTTATACTCTCTTATACTATCTTATAATCTCTTATATTTTCTAATACTTCTATCAAATGGCTTCTGGCTCTGATTATGAAGAACAAAACCTATCTCCTACCGATCCAAAGATGAGTCCTCATACAACAACTCCTCCTCATATCGGTGTTAATCTTGAATCTGGTGGCGACGAATCTACTGCACCAAGAGCTCCTAAAAGGCCGAGATTCGATGTGTGGAATTTTTTTGAGAAGATAGACGTCACTAAGGATGAACACGGTAGGATCATCTCCCAGAAGGCAAAATATGCGTTGTGCAGCCATGTTTTCCAAGCTCATCATAAGAGCGAAACCAACCATCTCAAACGCCATATAGAGAAACACAATAAAGGCCAGAATCTTCAAGGTGATATCCGACAGTGTATGATTTCCCAATCCTCCTCTTCTGGTACCCTCGGTAGTTAGAATTATGACGCTGCCCGAGCTAGGAAATGTGTAATCATGTTTATTGTTCTTAAAAGCCTGCCTTTTAAATTAGTAGAAGATGATGAATTTAAAGATTTGTTTAGAGATGGTTTTTATCCCGCATTTACAAAATTTTCTCGTCAAACCTGTCAACGTGATATTTTAAAATATTATCACGAGGAACAAGGAAAAATAATTTCTTATTTTAAAAAATTTAATTATAATTTTTTTTTAAATTCTGATATTTGAACATCTAGAGTGCAAGCTGGTTATTTATGTATCACAGCACACTAGATTGATAAAAATTAGCAAATGTTTAAAAGAGTTGTTTCTTTTATTGTAATTGAAGAGTCACACGCTGGTATTAATATTACAAATTTAATAATTGAAGAACTTATAAAACTAGAAATTGATCAAAGAATATTTTCTCTTTTACTAGATAATGCAAGTAATATTAATGTAGCTGTTGATTTTATTAAAACAACTTTGTCATTGCTATATCATGGTGACCTTTTTCATGTTGGATGTATCTGTCATATTTTAAATTTAATTGTTCAAAGTGTATTTTCTAAAATTAAACCCATGATAGAAAATGTTAGAACAGTTGCTAATATGCATAATGCTTCTGAAATGAGAATTAAAAGATGGAAATAATATTGTAAAAGAAAAAATTATAAGCCTAGACTAATTCCAAAAGATGTTGACCATAGGTGAAATTCCACATATGCAATGTTAAGTGTAGCAATAGAATATAAATAAATTATAAATAATTTTATAAATTTTTATGCTTCTAGTTCTAGCTTTGGTAGCACTTATGGAATAAGTGAAGATGAATGTACAATTATATGTAAATTAAATGAGATGTTACAAGTTTTTTATGATGCTACTATGTTATTATCTGGTTGTTATTATCCAACTATTACTTTAGCTGCTTTACAAATTTTAAATATTCAAAATTTTTTTACCAAATATCGTATGGATGATATTTTTAGAAATATAATTTTTTAAATGGAGAGCAAATTTAATAAGTATTTTAGGCATATTCCTCATATTTTTGGTTTGAGGGTTCTTATTGATCCATGTTTGAAGGATATTGGTCTTCGAAGTTTGTTACAGTCATTGTATGGTGGACAGGTTATAGACTTAGATGATGGAACCACCCTGAATGCTACTACTCATCATTTATACTTCTTATCATTTATCTATTAGAAATTATTTTCAAACATTATATGATGAGTATGCAGCTAGACATGGTGTAGCTGCACAACAGTCTACAGCTTCAGCGCCTTCGGCTTCGAGCACATGTCGAGGTAAAAGTGTAAGTTTTGATAGGTATGTAATGGTAGCTGAACTAACAGGTGGATCTAGAATTAGCTCAGGATTAGAGGTTTCTGAATTAGATGAATATTTTTCTGCTTTCTTAGTTAAATGTCAAGGAAATGCTTTAGATATTTTATAATCGTGGAGAGTATATGGATCAGTTTCATATCCTATACTTTTCACCATGGTTCGTGACTTACTATCAGTGCAGGTTTCGACGGTAGCTTCGGAATCCGCCTTCAGCACAGCAGGACGTTTGGTCGACGACCACAGGACATGCTTAGATCCGTATACTGTATAAGCGGTGATGTGCTTACAAGATTGGTGGAGGTACGAGAAGCGAACACAAGGCATCGATCAGATTGCTATAATTGAAGATAAATTTGAAGAGTTGGGACTAGCAGATAGATATAAAGATTAGATAATATTCATCAAATTATAATTTTTATTTCTTAGCTTTAAATTTGTAATGAATTATTTCAGAAAAAGTTACAAATGATAGTGATATGGGTGAGTAGGTGTCAACCTAGTTGGGATTTACTCATTTATTGTGATGCGACGAATTTCAAAATAAATTTATACTTGTAAAGGATTTACCGATTATTAATAAAAAAATTATTTTTATCATCTTTTATTTTTATAATTTTTTGTACTTGTAATTTATATCATTTTATGTTATTAAAAAAATTTATGTCATTTCTGTAATTTTTATGTATATTTTATGATTTTTTTTTAAATTTTAAAAAAAAATTAAAAAAAAAAACGGTACGGGCCCGGGCCCTGGTCCGGGCTTCGGTTTTGCCTGGCTCGGACCAGGTTCCGGCCGCGTCCGAGCCGCGCGCCGGTCCTCGGATGGACACCCCTAAGAAAACTTAGCATTTACACCTTCTATGGTACTTTTCATCGGCTTATTATTAGTGCTTATCTATGGCTAAATATCAGATAACCTCCTTAACTTTGGTTGATTGTAAGATAAACCCCCATAACTATTAAAATATTAGAAAACCCTCTTAAGATTTGGGTTTATCAGAAAACCTCCAGCAACTTTAATCTTAGATCCAATGTTAACTGTAATTTTCACATGAGTGGGAAAAACTACGTAGGGATATTTTTTCTTGTGAAAATTGTGGTTCACGTTTTAGGAGGTGTTTATGAATAAGTCTTAAAGTTAAAGAGGGTTTCTAATAAACTCTTATGACCTGTTTGGATGGAGGGTGAAGAGGGAGAGGGGAAGAGAAATCTAATTTTAAACTTGTTTGGGAGTTTCAATTTAGGAGGACAGGATGGGTGGGGGGGGGGCGGGGGGATTTGAGCACAAATCTTACATCTTCAAATTGGGGTGTAATGAAGGGGAATGAAAGGAAGGGAAACTTTTCCCCTTCATTCTCCTTCCTTTCTTTCTCTAAAAGTCATCTCCCAAACACATTGTAAGTTAATTTCTTTAAATTTAAATATTTTGAAAGTTATGGGGAATTATCTGATAATCATCCAAAGTTAAGGGGGTTTTCTGATATTTAGCCTCCATCTATTTATAGTTTATAACATACCGAAGTAACGAAGTCTTAGATTATATTTCTTCTCTCTACACCCCCAATCCAATAAAAACAATGGAGGAAGAGTACTCAGTATGGGCTCTCCCACCGCCAGAAGCCCGCAACCGGATCAAGGACCTGATGCGGGTACTCCGATCCGAATTCGGCGGACCCGAATTCGATCCGCACATCAGCCTCACCCGCGAATCAGCTAGCCGTCATCTTAAATCCGCATCCGAAACCCTCTCCCCTTTCACGGCCCGCGTTTCCGCTGTCTCCGGCCGACACTTGATATTCGAGTCAACCCCCCAGGTCTTGATTTACTTGCAGAGCAGTCCTTCCTTTTTTTTGTTACTCTTTCTTTTTGGCTAACTGCAGAATTTTTGCGGTTAATTGGTAGATTTTAAGTGGAAATTAACGTATTATCATAATTCCTTTATTTTGATTTTTTTTTCCTTCCCTGCAGGTGATGGAGGTAAGCGCCCGCTGCTGTGGTTACTTCGGGTTTAAATATTCAAGACGTGAGTTCGCTTTTCTTTGGTGTTTTTTCCCAAGAATAACCGTAAATTTCTGAATAAATTTTAAGAAATAATTTATAGCTATTTTAATATCATGAAGTTTACGACTTACATGAAACTCGCAAATATTAAATATACAGAGCATTTTTCATTTATAATCCATAGGACTAACCATAAGACACAAACAGTGATATGTGTCATTTTTTTTTAAGATTCCAACCAAAAGCAATGGCTATCTTAGACACAAGTCAACACAGGTCAACTGATTAATATTTAGTTCCGTGATTTCAGATTCAAAATTAATTTCTCTTGGTAGTTTCAAAACAACTAGAGCAATAGGCTCTAGTTTTCTGATTTTAGATACAATTTTATCCAAAAACAAAATAATCAGGTAGAAGCCATTTGCTCACTTAAATTAGTAGAGATGATGTACTGTAATTAACTGCAAAATGTTTATAATAGAAGTTAAAATTAAAATACTCAGTGCTAGCTTCAGAAATTTCACATAAAGAATAATGTTAGTTTCTTGAAATTTACTCTAGACATTATGCTTCTTTTTCTGAATTTTCCAAGAGCGGTAAAATTCACAGAACCCATCTAAACTTAGGGTGAGCTCATACTTTGGAAATCCCAAAAATCCAGTGAATTTTAAAGTTTCACAACCACCCTCTGAACTTCAAAAAAATCCCACAAACGGAGTTAAAAGGTCTCGCCAAAATGGCTTTAATATCTTTTTGTACAAGGTCATAATTTTTATGTAAGCAACTTTTCATAAGTTTTAGCAATACCATTCTGACCTTAAGAGAGATTAGCAAATTGAGACAAGTTTAGGAGAGCTTTCAGAGTTCACGGTATTTTGTGCAATCCACCCTAAGATTCAGTGATTTTGTGATTCTTACCCAACAAACGCCTTCAACTCCTCCTGTGTTCATATTTGCATTTTTAACATCTTTTCTAGAAACGAAATTTCCCATTGATGATATCTCAGAATTTCAACCATACTAGAATTGTGTATTTGCAGCTTATACGCCTCGCTCGAGCCTTTTATATGGTGAGCTAACAGAGGAGAAGAATGAGAGAGTTCAAAAGCGTGTCCTTGAACTTGATCAAGAGATTGTGGGCTTCACGTTTGAAGTATCCGAGATCGGACTTGCTGAAACTGATACTGAAGATAAGAGCTTGAAGTCATGGGAGATTGTGGAGATCATGAAGCTTTACTGAGGCCGCCCCCCCCACCCCGCCCCCCCCCCCCCCCCCCCCCCCCCACCCCATTTGCGGTGTGATTGTATCGTCATCAGAAATTATTTGCAGAGAAAACTATTTTTCGCTTTTCATTTATACTTTTTTTTAATAAAAGACCATTAGGTTTCTTCAATCTAGCCTTATTCTCCAAAGGCCTATAACTGTACGTATAACATCTCTTCTTATGTCCCAATTGTTAGCCCAAAACCATGCCCACAATAGAATAGGGCATAAGATTCAGCGAGAAGAAGAAAGGGTTAACTTCACAAAAGCTCATGATGTTGGGGGTTTTGGACATAATCTCTGTGAACTTTTTTTTACCTCACATAATCCTCCTCCACTTTGGGACTATTTCTCGCCGAACTCCCCACTAGCAATTGTCAAATAACTAACATGTTAGAGAGAGTGAGAGAGTGTGTGTCCCAAATGTAGTCATTTATTTTATTTATATGCAAACTACAAGTAGGGGAGAAGTTCAAAGTTCAAGAGGATTTTGTGTGAGATACTTTGAAGTGTAGTAGGTTTTTTGAGATAAAAAAAAATCCAGAAAGCTTTCGTGCAAAACCTTATGAGGCTTTGTGAGATCAACCCAAAATAACCCAATTTAGGATTATAATCAGAACAATCCTCCTTGCTCAAACAAAATAATAATAATAATCATTACAATTTCTGCAACATTCTCCATCACGGTTCTCCAAGATGTAAAACTTCTATTTTAGAAAAGAAAAATAATGTAAAACTTGAAATTTCTCGACTCATAATCAAATTATAAACTTTTAGCATCAAGAAATCCCAAAACAAGCCAAGCATAATCGTCTCATGCTCATCATTCTCATTAGCAAAAGGCAAAGGCACCATTGCCAATGATGTAGAAATTGGCAACAAAGTTGAAAAGTTCAGGAAAACAGGTGCAGGAAACTGTTTGGAAGCTTGCCGGTCGACTGCGAGACATCTGTGGTCAACCAGAAACGTGCATAGGTCGAAGGAAGATTCTGGAGTTGGAGACGGTTGACCGCCAAGGACCCTGTAGGATTCTGGGTCTCTGGAATTGGTGACGGTTGACCGTCGCAACCCTGTAGTCGATTTATGTTTCTGTCGATTCCTGGGTAGTCGACCGCGGCGAATTCGATGGTCAACCGCTAGTCGGGTCTGAGTCTGGGTTATGTTTTCTGAACCGTTTCGTTTTGTGTTAATATATAACCTTAATCACGATTATTAGGGTTAATTAAGGACGACTTTGAGCAGCTTTTAAGAGAGAATTGTGTATCCTTTGAGGGATAATTTGTGAGAGATTTTGAGAGCTTTGTTTAAGGGTTTTTGGTGAGATTGTAAACCCTATTTGTATTCTCTTTATTTCTAATAATAAAAACTTCCCCCTCTTTACCCCGTGAACGTAGACAACTTGCCAAACCACGTAAAATTCGTTTGTCTTGCTATGGTGATTGTATTTTACTTATTGGTTGTGATCTATTTCATTCTTGTTCGTGCTCTTTCGTGTGTTTTGAGTTCGCTGCGCACAAAAAATGTTATCAGAGCTTCGGGTTTAGCTTGGGGCTTATTTGGAGGATTTTCTGAAGGTTTCTTATTTGAAGAGTTAGATCATCAACATGGGTGAAGAAAGCACATCAGGATCGTCTCTTACGAAGGCGATACATAGTCTGAGCATCAATAACACTAAGATTGATATTCTGAAGTTCGATGGCAAGATTAATTTCGGTTTGTAGAGGTGCCAGGTGATGGATGCGTTGGATGCCCAGAATTTGGAGGAGACTCTTGAATTACAAGAGAAACCTGTAGACATGAAGAATAAGGTTTAGAAGAAGATAAACAGTAGGACTTATGGGGTTATTCGGTCATGCTTGACGCCGGATTTGATTTATGATATGATGAATGAGACGTCGGCGAAGAGATTATGGGAAACACTCAATGATAAGTATCTTACGAAGAGAATTGAGAATTGGCTTCACTTGAAGAAGATGTTTTATCAATTCAAGATGAAGAGGAGAGTTTCCATTAAGGAACATGTCAATAACTTCACGAAGTTGCTTTCGGATATAGCAAATGTGGACATCATGGTTGAGGATGAAGATAAGGTGATGTTACTATTGTGTTTGTTGCCGGAGGATGATTATGACACCTTTGTTCTCACTATGATCAATGGAAGAATTATTGTTAGCTACAAGGAGGTGACCTCAGCATTGGTGAACTATGAGTTGAGGAAGAGTGATGGCAAACCCTCTGAGAAGGCATCGGGAGATGCATTAGTAGTTCCAGGCTGTAGTCCAAACCATCGCCAGTTCAACTGCTCAAAGTCAAAGAATAGAGGTGGTCATAAGAGTGTTGGTAGAAATCAATGTGCCTTTTGTAAAGAAGAGGAATATTGAAAGAATGAATGCCCAAAGTTAAAGGATAAAACTGGGAAGAACATGGGAAAAGCTGTACAAGCTCCAGAGGTGAATATTGCCAAGGCTGTTGGTGACAATTCAGATTCGGATTCTTCAGACTACTCTTACTCTGTACTACCGTCAGTTTGTTATACCGACTCTACAGAGTGGATGCTGGATTCAGGAGCTACATATCATATTTTTCCTAGGAGGGATTGGTTTTCCAGCTTTGAGGAGTTGAAAAGAGGGGATGTTGTGCTTATGGGTAATGATCATATATGTCCTATTAGTGGTATTGGTACAGTCCGGATTAGGATGTGTGACGGGGTGACCAGGGAGCTGAAAAAAGTGAGGTTGGTTCCGTAGTTGTCGAAGAACATCATTTCTCCTGAGACTTTAGAGGCAGCAGGCTATCATGTGATCTTAGAGAATGCTACTTTGAAGGTCACAAAAGGTTCTATGGTGGTGATGCAAGGTGTCAGGAAAAACAACCTATACTTCTTAAAAGGAAAGATAGTTACAGAGGGTCTGGCGGCTTTTATCACTACATAGGAGGATAATACCAGCTTATGGTACATAAGATTAGGACATACTGATGATAAGTCCCTATAGACATTGGCAAATTAAGGGCTATTGAAAGGTGCAAAGACCTGCAAGATGGAGCTATGTGAGTATTGTGTACTTGGGAAGAAGACTAAAGTGAAGTTTGGCATCGCAATTCACAACACCCAAGGTATATTGGATTATATTCATACAGATGTTTAGGGCCCTTCCAAGCACACATCACTTGGTGGGGCTAACTATTTTATCACTTTCATTGATAACTATTCCAGAAGAAATTGAGTATATACCATGAAGCATAAACATGAGGTTCTGGATATTTTTGTGGAGTGGAAGAAAAAAGTGGAGTTGCAGACATGTAGAAAGGTGAAGACAATTCGTTCAGATAATGGAGGAGAGTATAAGAATGATCTATTTCTGTAGCTTTGCCGAGATCACGACATTAGGTGACACTTCATAGTTTGAGAGACACCATAATAAAACGGGATGGCTAAGAGATTGAACCGTACCTTGCTGGAGAAGGTACGATGTATGATGTCACAGAGTGAATTGTCGAGATTCTTTTGGGGCAAGGTGTTAGTTTATGCGAGCCATCACGTGAATAAGTTATCATGCACTACGATATAGGGGAAGACTCCTATGGAGCTATGGTCTACTTCGATGGCTAGTGACTATGAGTCACTTCAGATATTTGGGTGTCCAGCTTATTATCATCTCAATAATGGAAAATTAAATCCGAAGGTGAGAAAAATAGTCTTTGTGGGCTTTAGAGAAGGAGTTAAAGGCTTAAAATTGTGGGATCCACAGGACAAGAAGATAGTCATTAGCAAAGATGTCACGTTTGACGAGGCATACATGATGAGGCCTCAAGTCCCTCAGCAGGTGGAGGAAGACCAGACTAGTAGGATATCGCAGCAGGTGGAGGATGATATGACTCCACCCACTCCAGATAGCATTATATCCATTGAGACTCCTACAGAGGTGACATTAGGAGGAGATGGGATGACAGATAGGCATTTGGAGGATACAGTGTGTTGGTCTTCTTATTTTGATGATGATTTAACAAACAATTTACGCATAATATTGGTTTTAGTATCTTGTTTTGTGTTGTTTAGTATACACAGGAAAATGAACTACATTGATATTGAAGCCTATGCAAATCAAGTCAATCAATCAAAGTTCAAGCTTTAGAAGATTCATTCTTAGTATACATAGTATACGATTATATAATGTGTGCAAATTCTACAAGCTCAAATACACACACATTTCATTTGTGAATTTTCTCAAATATAGGAGTTTTTATGCAAAATATATTTTAATATGCTTTGGACTACACAAACGTTATTAACATCTTTTATTAAGTCCATAAAAACATTACACAAGTTTTCAGAACTTGATTTGAGCTAAATATCAAAATCAACATGTATTTTTAGTGTTTTTGAATATTTCTGAGTTTTCACAAATAGTAAGAGCAAATTAAAAAATTCCAATTCCAACATGTTTATATTCATGTTTATAAACTTTTTCCAAAGTTTTATATTTTTTAGAATTTATTTAATATTTTTAAAAGAACTTTAAAATTCGTTTTTAAAAATCAATACAGGTTGAAAACCTGTTATCAGTCGACTGATGACATTTATTAGTCGACTGAAAAAATATTCTGCAATCTTCAAAAGTTTTTATTTTTTATTTGACGACTGATTAGTCGACTGATGTTGGCCTTCTTGTTTTGATAATGTTTAACAAATAATTTACCACTAATGTTGTTTGTCTAGTATTTGTGTTTTCTTATTTCTTATAGACAAACAACGTAGTTGGAGGATGGATGGAATAGAGCTTCAATGATGATATCCAAAGGAGGTTGGCGGAATGTCAGTGAAGCCTTGCAATTCAAATTTAAAGATCAAGTTCAAGCTTCATCCGCATGTGTACCAAGTTGAGCTACAATGAAGATCAAGATCAAGCTTGGATAATCTAGTTTAGATTTTATATTATGTGTGTTAGATACTCTAAGATCAATATAATATACACACATAGTTATTGGTT